ATAGAAAGAGACAGATAGTGGTGATAAAATTGATGTGAGAATTATTTAAAAAGAGAATATTTGATAAGAGATTGCTATTCCAAATCTATTTGAATTATCTAAGCATAAAAGAAACTCTAAAGTAGAAATTTAACTTTAATTCAAAGAAAGATAACTCAATATAGATGGAAGAGGATATCTGAGAACTTAATTTGAATAAACTCGGCATAATCATATAGGACCTTGTAAAACTAGAATATCAGAATATTAATAGTTAAATTTTAATTCTGAGTTGAATTGATCAAGCGCAAAAGAGATTAGAAATTCCACTACCTAAAGTAGAAATTAATAGAGAAGGAGATTTTCTGGTTTAGATCAATACGAAAAATGGTCATTAGTTAAATAGCTACAGAATAAAATTCTAGCGAAAATACTTATTTAAGAATTATAGAATAGAAAATTTCACTTTGGTTGGAATTTTTTGAAAAATTAAAATTATTAAAAAAAGACATTAGCACCTATAGTGGGTCTATGAATGAGTCGCTTTTTGATTGTTTGCAAATGTTTGCCTCTAACATTAGAGTTGATTAAAACGATTAAAATAAGTGCTAGGACGTTACTGTAATGTCCTTATGTTTGTTTATTTCAATATAATAGCAACTAAAATGAAAGCGTTAGCATTCCCCTAGTTTGCTCATTTGACAAATGACTTAACATTTAAAATAAATAGATAAATGGTGTTAAAGGTTTCGAACACAATTACTACCTCAAAAAGGTTAGGTGTATTGAAAATCGCAGTAAATTATATGTATAATACATAAACAATTTTGTTTTTCTTAATGAAGGTCGAGATCAATTATGAAAATAAGCAATGGAATGAGTGGGTAGATATCGTTATTTTGATATGATGGGCAGTTTATTTTCAAAGATTGTGAAGTATTTGGTCAGATATTGATCAGTTGTTCTAAGAAATGTAGTAAAAGAATTCTTCTGCAGAAAGAATTTTTTGACTCAGAAAATCATAATTCAAGGGAATAACCAATTGAATATTTGAATTTTGCAATTGATGACTTCTTTAGGCGAACCTTCTATTAAAAGTAGTTTGTGATAGTGTAATCATTATTAATAGATTTATTTTTAAAGGTTGATTAAATAGAATAAGGAAATATAATGGGAAGGGTGCCAAGAAAAAATTGAGTTTAAACAATTGGCTTTATTGACATTTCAAATTCGTAGATGAGGGTTTCACTATCAAGCCATCTGAAAACTTTTTATCATTTTTGATTATATTATTTGTTGTAAAAAAATTAAAATGAATAAATAATATCAATCTCATATATATTGTATTTTTTCATTTAGGAGGAATTGAAAGAAGAAACTTTAAAAGATCGAAATAATTTTGGTGTTATTTTCCTATCATTTTATATCACAACCTCATTTCCTCTTTCTCACTAACTTAAAAGAAAAGTGCAAAATCACGTCCAAAATTACCTGTTTAAAATAATGACTTTTCAATTTTTAAATAACATATGTACCATATCTTATGATTTAAGTTCTAAACTTATTCTAAACATAAGAGTCCAATTTATTTTAAATTTATTAATCCTATAATTTAATCATTTAGTTTTAATTTGCAATTATAAAATTATTTTAATCGAGTTTTATTCTACTTTATGAACTTTCAGAGCAAATTATTAATCTATGTTAATTTTCAATTCTTCAACAAATTTTTTTTTAATAAAAAAATTTAAGTATCTCAATCAAGATTTTAGTTCTATCTCCAGCAGATCTAGTTCTATACGTCAAAGCTAATACTAGATAGACCGTGAGCGAGTCCTTGGCTTCTCTTCTTTAATGTTCTAAATGGAAAGTATCACGTGACTGAAGTTAATTTGTTCTAGAACTTTTTGGATTGGATGGGGAAAATAAAGAATAATGAGACTCTATTGCTCTTAAATAAAATTAGACCCTCAGAACTTGAGATTGAGCATAATATAAGCCATGTTGTCCAGCTTAAGTGAATACTTTAACTTATCTGGTATTGGACTAAGATATTTAGATGTTACACCTTTATATATACAAACATGATTGATTAGATTTAATATCTATATAAGGAAAACAGGAGAATTTTATAAATAAATAAAAATTTAAAAAGATAAATTTTTTTTTTTTTTTAATATAATTTACTATTTTTATTTATAACAAGAAGAAAAGAACAATCAGTCCTAATATTATAAAAATCAAATCGATGATCAGAAACATATTATAAAACTAAGACTGTTATAAATAGAACATACAATATTAAAGAATTGGAAAGAATTAATTGTTGAACTAAAGAGCAGGAAGAATAGATTTTATACTAAAAATGAGTGTTTCCCAGTCAGATTACAACTTTATTAAGATCATAATAACACTCTCATTACAAAAGATGTATTCACTTTTTAAGGTGGAACTATAATCAATTACTGATAAACTTCCAGAGAGAGTTTACAGATTCGCTTGAAGAGGCCTATAAGATTGGAATTGATTCCTAATTCATGAATCAGGTAAAATGGAGAAAAATGCTAACTTAAGTATATGGATAAGATGATTAGTAAAGGTAATAATGAATACTTTTTAAGATATTCACTTGGACAAGAGGGAACAGACATATTTTTCAAGGCTAAAAAGCCAAAATGAAAATTCAAAAAAAGTACAGAAATTAGATATTATAGTTGGATATTTTGCTTGAAGCTCTTGTATTGAGAAATTAGGCATTTCTCACATAAAATAAGATTTGATAAATTCTTTAATAACTTTCAATTGTCCTATAAAAATACTTTTAAAGAAAAAAAAAGAAGTCACCCAAATATTGATTAAGATTCAGCATCCTCAATGATAATTCTTGGCTTCTGAAGCACTGACCATGATATTTAGGGAAAAGGGCTAGAAATGAGCCTATATTTTAAA